CCGTAGGCGTTGACAAGACCCCACGAGTTGAACATGAGAAAGAAGCAGCCCAGCAGACAGGCGTAGGCACGCCATGACTGCGGCCAGTTGGGTTCGTCGAGTGTGTCGACACTGGCATGTCGGGATTCGTCTCGCATCGAATTGGTCGCAGTTGGTGCTTCGGAGAGTGGCAGCGTTCCTTCGCTGTACTGCCGACTCTCTTTGTATGAAGATTTGGTAGGTGGCATGTTGGCGGTGTTTACTGAAGGTGCGGGCCGTGAGGTGAAGGTGGAAGGAGCAATCAGTTATCTGAAAAGGTGTTTGACGATGACGCGATAAGATGCTCAACACGGATAGCACGTGTTGGAGGGGAAGCGCTCAAATGGACGCACTGGTGAAAAGGTACGGAAACGATCAGCTGTCAAAGCGGCGGAGATGAGGGTATAAGTACGGTACTCATGTGGAAGCAGGCATGGGATATGGGGAACGAGCCCAAGGCTTAGATTGATAGAGGGTTCTTTTACGGCTCCACTTCGTTAAGCACGCGCGTAACCCCCATGTAGAATGTGGCTGGCTCCTCCCATAGTGACGTGGTAGTCAAACGGGTCGTGTAATGGGGCAATGGCAGTAGCAACGCACAAGCAACGCAAGGGTGCAAGCCCAAGAGAAGCCAAGGCAATACGGGCGTCTGAACTCCGCCGGCAGCAGGGTATACTTCATTACTCTTTTAGATGGTTCAAATGCCCGGCGGCCCAAAGGTTTAGTGCGCCGCGTTAATCCGGTGTGAGAGCGATCGGCGGTCGTGGATTCTCCGGAGCATCTCGCGTTTGGACTTCCCCACGCTTACTCGTTGTCGTGAAAACATGCCAACCATGCCGGCTCCAAGGGAGGCATGCTTTGTCTCTAGTGACCTCATTTGTTACAAAGCTGGGCATCGCCACCCCTTCTTCCTCAACGTGCGTAACAACAAACGGGATTGGAACGCACTGGGCAAGACTACCACGGTACGTAGACGCCGCATGCCCTATCCCACAACCGCGTGTGCGGATGTCGAGATTGCTCATAGGCTGTGCGTTCTTGGCTTGTTCCACCAAAACGAAGTTGCCGGTGGGCATAGACATCTGGTAGGCGATTATAGGGGTTGAGGCGCCTGACAAGGTTGGGTGAAATAGCGGAGCGGGCCCCCGACCCTTGGCGTAGTATCAGCGGGCGAGATGTGATGAGTGATGAGGCTCGATTGGGTCGGCATGCCAAGAATGTGCTCGAGTAGTGATGTACGAATTCCGCCTTGGCCGGCCCAGTTATATTGCAAGGGTCAAGAATGAGTACTCTCGCGGTGACACCGCCGAGAATGCTGCGACTCTGGCAGTCTCTCCAGGAAAGCGGATGCAACGGCCGACGGCCTGAGTGAAAGCGCGTAAGCCAGTGCAGAATATCGGCGTTGCAAGCTCGGCGACACCGCCGACGAGGGTTGAGTGTTAGGCGCAACATGTCGAGTACATGACAGACAAGTCGCGCTAAAGTTGGCAGTGTAACAAGATCAGCGGGCCGGTGCGGTTCGTTGCTTCGTTATCTTGAGTTTCAACACAGCCACAACCGCTTCAGAGGCATGCCTAGAGATCGACGGCTAGGGCGTTTTGCCAAGTATCAACACCCACGCTGGCTTCGATGCTTGCTTCTTCCCGCCGCCGCGATGAAGCCGTATCATATTGAGAGGGTTATCAGACAGTGCGGGTGTGGCTGCAGCGAACTCGTCACCCTGCCTTGCGATGACATGTTTCAGCCACGCGCAACTGTCGGCGCGAATGGCCGCTGGGGTGCATTTTTTGTTGACAGGCGACGCGCGGAGGGTGGATTCGAACGTTCGGAAAGAGCATAGACGGAGTTGGGGTAAGGAAGTGGAGGAGGAGTCAGGACTGGGGATCAGCGACGCTACCTCCAGAGAGTTTGCTCTGCCAAGCCAGGTGTCGGCCGTGGCAATTACGCGTTCTGGCAACCCTCGCCCAGCATCGACCCGATCCAGCGTCGAGACGAGCCCCAGGCACTATTTCTAATCAGATCTGGAAACAAATCCAAGCCCGACATCTTCCTAGGTCTGTGCAGATCTCCCCTGTCGGGAGGTGCCCAAGAGCCGAGAAGAAACAAAGAAGCATCCCGCGCAGAGCTGCGCTGCACGTTACGCAAACAACAACGACAAAAGACAATGTTATCTTGTCTCAGACTTCTTAGTCGTGTGGTTTGCTAAACGTCTGATTTGCATTTTGCCACGGGAGCGGTCAATTGGTAGCTTCACTCCGCTGTGACGGCTAGTTTCTTGTAATGATGGCGAGGTCCATGCTGGGTTCCCGCGGACTCCATCAACTACGTCAGGCGCGTTCCACAAAAGGCCCATGGGGACGCGGACCTTTCGAAAACCGGGGACTTCTTTAACGTTCTCACGAAGTTCTTCCGGAGCCGGACGTTGAGCAGTGGATATCGTCATGCGTAGTACTCTGCCGTGTCACTACATGGTGCCGCAGTCTCTCCGCACAGCGTCCCCATGTCATGATTCAGCTGTTGAGGGTTGGTTGACATTCTGGGTTGGTTGGATAAGGCATCCGCGTCTCGTCCGATAAGCAGCTTTGACAGCGGCTGCGGCGTTAGGCTTCGATCGCAGCTTCACGGGTAGATACTCGGGGGTTCCAACAGGTTCTGACTGCCGACAGTCTTCGCCTGGTGCTGTCAGCGACGGCCGAACATGCTGGGTCGCTAACCAGGTACCGCACGGTGATGGTTTTGCGGAAGCGCGCCCATCCGGAGCCTCATTCAACAATCGACAGTTCAATAAGCTGGGATCAGCTCTCGACAATCTCGTGTCCATACTCTAATCCGACAGAATCTATTATCTGGAACCCATTAGTCCATGTTTCGTTCGGTGCGGGCCAGCAGTCAGGCTCCCGGTACTTCCACTGTGCATAGTGACGCCAAGCCCTCCACTGAAACGAAAACTCACCCAGAAAATATTCCTGTCCATTCCATTCTTCCGAGCCACCCACAATCCAGCCCCTGAAAGTCTGTTTTGGATGCTCAGCGATAGCGCTGTGGAAAAAACAAGCAAATACGAGCGGAACGCCACGGCGAACGAAGGGAACGAATCCTTGTGGCGGCATGCAGTTTCCGTGTGTCAACGTCAGGCCACTTGGAGAACCAAGTCCGAGACGCGATCCCGCACCCACAAAGTCGCAGATTCGAAGCGAGGTCCATCAGGGCGGAGCGGAGAGCGGAACGTGATATAATGAAAAAGAGATGATGTTGCGATACCTGCCTCAGATCATTCTTGTCATCTGCTGGGCACAACTGGGCAGGGCCGAATCGCCACGTTGTTAGAGCTCCGACAGCTGCTCCGTCTTGGAAACGACAAGACGGCACCCAAGGCCGACAGCCGCCGCATTCCATGTCGAACACCAGTTCAAGTCGAGTCGCCACACATAGCGGGCGTTGAGGCGGAGCGGAAATCCCAGCGCCGCTCGTGGCGTTGAGTTTCGAGTCGCGCGAAAAGGGGTTTCATGCGGCACGAATCCACGACTCGCAAACATGTAATACTCGGGCGCACATGTCAACGCAGAAGATGTCTGAGCAGTGTGCAGAGGCCTTGGGTTGGGCGCTGTCGTGCTTTTCTTCCAAGACTTGGTACCTAAGGCAGCTCAATGCAGCGGGCAACAAGCAAGGAGCGTCAGGCACGTTCACGGCTATGGTGTCAGAGCGCAGTCCCCGAGAATACCGAGAGATCCATACGGGCACAATAAACTCAATCTTGGGTTCATCACAGGTACCCTCAGGTAGGTGCGTCCGCGGCGCAATCAAACGTCCCGGGGGTAAGCATGGTGTCGCTACGAGACCAGCAACAGAAAACCAACACCTAGTCGGCATTCAGCACCAGATTTGACAACAACAAAATCCCACCGTAGACTATATTAGAAGTCAGCTAAGGCAGGCAATGTCTGCTGGGAGGTCTATCGTAATATACTCCAGGTAAGAGAGGCTCCTTCGAGGGCAATCAGAAGTCGCAAATCCGTTACTAGTGTTCTCTTTCCTTCAAATCAATAGTCTTTTCCTACGTCTTCGCCGAGTCCATTTTTCTCGTCTCATAGCGACCTGCGATCATGTTCGCTCGTACTCAGACACACTCACGCCACTTTCGGGCAAATCCGAGCCAACCCACAATGTCGCCGTTCTCTCTGGGCGGAACCGCTAACAAGGCTAGAGACTGTCAGAGTCCATCTGCTTCTTCACAATACCCACATCTATCGTCTTATTGAATATTCCACGTGGACATGGACAGCACATACCTCGCAAATCATTCGGAGTTGCACGTGTGCAAGCACGCAAGGTCGAATGAAAGGTGTTGAGGGGACCCGAAACATCGCCGACCGACGCGCGTATGATTACTTGAGGAAAACAAGACGCTGACAAAACGGCCAGAAATCCGCGATTTGACCAAGAGTGCGCTCTGAAGACAGGGTGAGCTTTGGTGGATATGTAGGTTAGGTGCGTAATTTCATCCTGCCACGCAGTCAATTACAACGACGTATCTATCTTCACGTTTAGTCATTGTCTTACCATTACGTTGCTACATTCGAGATACTTCAGATGAATTTCACGATCAGGTTGTAGGGTGAGGATTCGCGAGACCATGTTGCATTCGCTTCACCAGCCAGAATGCCGTCGTAAGAAGCATGAGATACTTATCAATAGAATAGAAGACATCACATTACGTCGCCAGTGGGAATATTCATATAGAACGGCTGTCATTGCTCTAGCTATAAATACAGTTCGCTAGACGCTACCCTCAAAACGCCATGCTCCGGGGATCAAAGATTACTATGCCATGTTTGCAATCAAGAAGAGCAAGAATAAAAAGACAAAGCCCCCAGTGCCATTGGTTCGGCGCGTGGAGGCAGAGCTGCAGATGGCCGATGACCAAATCGCTCGAGGTAGAGTCATGACCAGGCGTACGCCGTGGGTGTCCCAAGCGCCGCGACTCAAACGCCCTTGATCGCAACGGTGCGCTCGCTGTTCAGCTTATCCGCATTCCGGTCGTGGCTCTCCTTCTTGCAGTCCTCGAGTCCGACGCACTTGTGGTCCTCGAGCATGCGATGACGGCTGCAGTGTCGGCCTTCGCAGAAGCCGCAGTCGCCGACGATGGGCTGGGCGCGGTCCTTGCAGTCCTTGAAGGAGCAGCGGACCTTCTTGGGGGGCATTCCGCCGCGCAGAGGGAGCGCGAGGTGGAGAGTGGAATTGGGTCCGATGGCGTAATCAGCCAGGGTGGTGTCGGGTGACGAGAGGTGCTTGCCGGCGTGGACGATGCGCAGGTCCGAGGGAGCGGAGAGGTTGGTGCGGAGGGCGAGGAGGGAGCGCAGCGTGCTTATGGATGTATTTGAAGGGATTGTGAGGGGAATTGCTGTGCACAGTGTTAGCCCTTGCCGTGACTTCATGATGCGCCTGGTTCCGAGCCTCGGAACGGTGGCGGCGACGACTTACTGTTGCTGCCGGACACGGTCTTGACGAAGATCTGCATCGTCTCCTCGGCTTCCGAGCTGGACGAGCTGATGCTGCTGATGCTGGACGAGCGGCGCATGGTGACGGTGTAAAGACGGTGTGGAGACGGTGGTGGAGGGAGTGGTTTGGGAGAGTTGTGAGGGAGCCCTGGGTGAGGCTGGGGTGCTCGGCGAGTAGTGATGACGCTGCGGCGCGGCTAGATAACGGCGATAGTCGACGGGGTAGAGAACAGTGTGTACGAGAGGCGACAAGGTGCGTGGTATGACTAAGAGTGAATGGTTCAGCAGCAGGTGTGGGTGATAGAAGATTGAGATCAAGTAGGTGAAGGTGACGCAGACCGCTTCTTAAAGAAAGGCAGATGGAGCCCCATGCTGTCACTGGTGCCTCCACGGCTTGGTCCGACCGATGGCACTGCTAAACTGCACACGACTCGAGCCGATATGCGTTCGCAGCGCGTCTTTGCCTCCCCGATGCAGGGCGGCGGCGACTAGCCGAACTTCTTCCATGGTATTCCATATCCATCACCATCACCAACCTCTCACAGTCTCACCCATCAACCCGTCGCTGCTTTTGTCGCCAGTCTTGCCTTTGCCAGAACAACGACGTCTCACGTGTCCGATGCGGTCGTGCATATACTCGCACCCCATCCCTCGCCCGAGTTGCCTTTTGCATGTGACACGTATCGCGCGTCCGGTCTGTCTGCCACTTGTGAAATGCAATCTAGATCGCGTCTCATGCATACCCTCGCTTGTTGCCGCTTTCAGACGTGTAACACGTGGACGACAGCGCCTGGCATTCTGCTGTGCCGGATGAGGCGCTGAGCCCGGCCTGCGCCAGTGTTTACGATTGGCCCTCGTCGTGGCGCGTGCATGACGGCTATGCGCTGTGTGAGGCTGCACGACTATCGTCATAAAACAACGACACGCATCCTTGGTGTTGACTATCGCCGCCTCGCGTCGATTGGACATGCTTCGTTACGACATATGCACAAGGCCTAATGCTCCGACTCGCTGCGGCCCTGCCGTTGATCATCTGGAGTCATGCAATCATCCGCCCATCATCTATCGTCTGTGCCACTACCGCTTGGATCGGTGCGCGGTCAGAACCTTGGTACTGGAGACACGTCCATCGATCTGTACGCCTGCATGGTCAAACACGTCCAAACATGGGCTTTCCCCGCGCATACGTTATTTCCGTCATGTCACAGCATCGCCGTTGCTTCTAGAAGCGTTTCACAATCTTCTGCGCCGCTTTAGAGTTTGTACTTGTGCATCTTGGGTTGTTCGGCGTGGCAACTACCGCCTTACACTAAATATCAATACGCTACTAGTATACACCGCTTCCAACACCCGCCTACAACATGCTCTTGGGGAAGTCCTTCATCGCCTGCCGTACGCCCAAGTCACTGAGAATCTCCTCGGTACCTCCAAGAATAGCATCAAACTTATACGTGCGGTGGAACTGCTCAATCACCCGGCCCATACCACCTTGCGTAATTCCGCGACCTCCGAAGATGTTGACGGCTTCATCTGCAATCTCGTGTGCAGAGCGAGTGGCGAATGACTTGAGTAGGCCAATAGGTCCACCAAGCAGCTTCGATTGCTGAGCGTACGACATGTGCGTCATCTGGTAGGCAATAGATTCTAGCCATGCTTGGTTGGCCTCGACGTGTGAGATCATCTTTGCAAGCCTGGAGTATTGTCAGTAGCGTTCAATCGGATTTAGCTCCTGGAATGCAAGCGAGGGAATGTGGCGGGGTCTCATCCGACGGATGCACCGGTGGGACAAGAAGGCTATCTTTGGAGGCAATACTCACTTCTGGCGGATGGTGGGTTGCTCTATCAACTTCTTCCCAAAGACAACCCGCTGGTTGCACCACTTGAGACACTCCTCGACAACGGTTCGCGATTGTCGGATGACGGCGCATGCCATCATAAACCTCTCGTGGTTGAAGTTGGACATGATGACAACGAAGCCCTGGTGCTCTTTGCCCAACAGGTGGTCCACTGGTACCTTCACATCGTTGAACTCTACGTATGCGGTGCCGGCGGTGGTGGAGTAGCTCGTCTTGATCAGCTTAGTCTCGACGGCCTCGTCACGCTCGATGAGCAGGACGGAGAAGCCCTTGTCCGTCTTGCAGCCTGTGACGAAGTAGTCGCTGAACATTCCGTTGGTGATCCACTTCTTTGTGCCTCGTACGATGTAGTGCTTGCCGTCTGGTGTCAAGGTCGCAGTGGTCCTAATGCCGGCAACATCTGATCCAGCAAAAGCCTCGGTGATGGCTAGGCACATCTTCTTCTTGCCACTCAGCACCTCGTTGACCACACGCGTCTTCAGCTCAGATTCAGGCATCCACTGCAAGACAGCTGTCAAGCTGATGGTCATGCCTGCCATGTTGCCGTCTTGGAAGCCACGCGCGTTGGCGCGTACACCTTCCTGTGCCTGGATAAGGTCATGGAGGTAGTCAAACTCCTCGCCCTTGACGACACCCATCAGGTTCTTGCCGTGAAGATGCTTTCCAGGCCCAAGGCGCATAGCTAGCATGTCGTTCGCGGCCATCTTGTCGATCAACTCCTGGCTGATGTATGTACCATCCTTCTCCTTTTGTTGCGCCTCGGGCGTGACGTGTGTGTCGACGAACTTGCGGACCTCCTTCTGCAGCGCGCGATGGCTCTCCTTGAAGTAGGGACTCTTGAACTGCGGTCGCAACCACAATGGCTCCGCGTATGGCACTGGGCTCAGGTCGCCAGGCTTTCCGACAATCACCTCGGACTTCTCGCCCTCGATGGTGCCGATGCACAGCTCCTGGTACTTGTCAAGGACCTCCTGTCTGTGTAGGTTGTAAAACGCCGTCGTCGCATCTTGGCCGGCTACTTGCTCGAGCACGACGGAGCCACCAGGGTGGGCATCGACGAACTCGCTCAAATCGTAGACTTTGTGGTCGATGATGCACCAGAGGTCTTCGGGCGTGTTGTGCGATGCGACCGAATCGCGGGTGAGGGAGGCGTGAGGCATGTCGACGGTATGTGGGAAGGAGGCGATGGGTGGAGGAGGAAGGTACGACCTGATGCGTGGCAAGAGGACGTTTAAGGGACCGTAGGACGAAAGGAGAGCGAACAGCAGACGCGACTACATTATGGGTCTCTAGACGTTTGGCCTCGGTCTACGAGATGAGCTAGTCCTCTCCGCGCAGCGCTCCGTCTTTGTGTGGAGCAAGAGCGCCTGCCTGCAGACAACGTCTGGGGAAGATGCCGAGGCAGAATGTAATCACCTCTCCAACACCTCCCATTGGCTGTAGAAATATCGCGGCAGTCCAGCGACAACCACACTCCCTCTGTTCTCTTTCACTGCACTTTTGTTTCTTAGTTTCCGTCCATGCGACACGCCACCGACTGTGCTTGCAACTCCAGCTAATCACAGCCAAAATGTTGGTCACGTATCCAGAAGATCGATCGTCCAGCACAGTCTTCACACGCATCCATCTCTCGACATTGTGCAACGCATCAAGGAACACTGTATCGTCACTCAAGTAACTCTATCTCGCCAAGGTGTCAAGTGACTCTCCAATTACAAATGTATAGCAAACGTCAAGACCTCGGTGAGCTTAGAATGGCTGTGCAAACACTAGCCGCCTCTGGAACCTGTTAGTCAATTGATCACTGTCACTAGATCGGCCATCATGCCATCTTTCGAGACACGATCTGTGTCTCTGTACTACTTCCATCTTCACCTTGTTTTAGGATCTGGTAGTGGCAGAGCGATATCATCTATTCTTCATCGCAGCGAACCACTCTCTACACGACGACTTCACGGTTCATTTTGCGTACCATGCCAGGTTCTGTGGAATCTTCCGACCCATATATTTGGACTTACTAGGCGGGTGCAAAGATGATCATAGACATCCGAGACCGCGACTCATTGGAGGCTTCTATGGCATCCCCGAGTGTTCAAACCTTCCGTGCCCCTACGAAAAGGCTGCATTCCCATGAATCCAGCTTTATACCAACAAGAATATATATTCAAGCGGGGAAGGTAGTATTGGAGCATAGCCGCGTCGCTCAGAAGCATGACATGCGACCAGATCTCCGGTTGCAGAAGAGGCGACATGGTGCATCGTAAAGACTGGATCGTGAGGAAGGTCAACACACGGTCCTGACCACTGCTGTTGTGGCATAACTCGCAGAGGTGCCAACTGTGAGGTCGTCTGCCATGGAATATGCAAAGCACACATATCCAATGATTTCTCTTCGGGGACATTCAACGCAAATAACCAGGTCTCTTGCACTGGATTGTATCATTAGCTAAAAGTCCGCAAAGTCTCTTATAGATCCGAACCAATTGCATATGGCAAAGATGAATGTTTCGACGGATAACATTAAAGCTTGCTATCAGAACCCAGAGAAAAGTTAGTAGCAGATACCACAAACCCGTCTTACCTATCCCCCTGTTGACAAACTCCGCAAGTCCCACGCATCTCCATCCTCCTCTTACCATACCAATTCGTGTTGTTTACCCAGCAGATCGTCGCCCTAAGAAAATTAGTGTTGGTGAAAGCAAACTCATCCGCGTCGTGCCCCTCACTCCTCACCCATCTCAACAGAAAAAAAATGTTTGCCCCTCCACCCCTCCTTCAACATCACCCCGCCATGCCCCTCGTTTGCTTCCCTCGTTTGACCTTCTGCCCTCTGCCCCTCCAATAGTGCCGTAATCGACAACGCTTTGCTCAACTTGCCCGATCTGGTAACGTCACGCTGTCGCTCCCGACGTTGCGCGAGTGAAGGGCGTCATTTTGCCGTTTCTGCCTCATACATACGTCCTATCACTTCATTTTCGTCGCAGATTCAACATCCTCGAGATTTCCTTGACTAGAAGCTGTCGTGTGTCGAAATCGCGATAGCCGTTGTGCGATCCCGCGCCAACGCATCTCCAAGTTTGTTTCGATTCATGCATTTGCATGGACGATTTTAAACCGTGCAGAGTACGCAACAACCGAGGAAGCCAGTTCTGAACTTTGCGAGTCTTCTCTCACATATGCATATGTCTAGATGATGACTCAAATATGTTGAAAGGGCAAGTGCATATATCGACTTGGTCATGAGAAGTACAATATTTGGGTATCTCTCGTGTTCATACCGCCGACAAACAAATATATCTACACGTCTATAGCAGCTCCTGAACATCGTCTAACTGTCTTGGTAGTAATCTATAGTCGTAAGCGAATTGGCTGTCGCCCTCATGCGCCGTCTCAGCCCTCGAGTTTCGCCAGCGCCTTCCTCAGTTCATCCTCCCTCTTCCCAAGCACAGGCAGACCTCTATCTACACAAGCTCTCTCGAGCTCTTGCTTCCCGAGAGCTGCCCATCCGCCATCGCGTTCAATCAACTTGTCGTCCGTCTTCAAATACTCCAACTTCTTCCTGACATTGCGCTGCAACAGGAACTTGGGGGCTGTGACAGGAAGCCAGTCGAACAGCGCCGGATAGCAGTCAAGTTGTGCGGCGGTAAGCGAGAGTTCAAAGAGTGTCATCTCGTTCCAGTTCTTCGTGGTGACTGGCATGACTTGTCCACTCTTTGGCAGGGTTACAGAAGGCGTGTCAGAAGATGTGCTGCCAATAGGTGGTCGATCCCTGCTCATCAGTCGCATGGCGTCTAGAGCAATCCTTCTTAGCCGGTCTTGTCGCTTGTCTTCGCGCTTGCGTAACGCGCGCTGGACTTGCTGGGGTATCCGGCATGCCTCTGGAATGACGGGCGTGATGTACATAACAACGAGTGGTAACCACTCTCCAAGTAACAAGACCAAGAAGCCGAAGGCTGGCAATCTCAAAGTGTCTAGCCTACTCCTTTGCACAATCTGCCATTCCGCCCTTGACAAAACCTCGGTTATATCTTTGTTGGGTGTTTGAGCGGCCTTTTGGCGCAGCGTCTTTGCAAGTTTGGATGTTTGCCGGACATGCGATATGCCCGTTTTGTAGAAAGTAAGATATGCGCGACCGGCGCGATATAGCCACTTGACGACGTTCTGGTCTGGTGTTCGTGCGGGAACAGATATATCGGGGGCGTATGTGAACGGTGGTGGGTTCAGTTTCTCTTTCGCTCGCAGTGTGGGGACGGTTGTGACCTTCGAGGTGGGTGTTTGCGCGGGAACGAGAGGGGGGGACTGAGGCTTTCTGGGAGAAGTTGTCTTCGTGGGTGTAGTCGTCTTGGTTGCTTTGGCGGGAGAAGGTGGCATGGCCCCGCCATATCCTGTGGTTTTCACCGGCGCCGCTGTGGATGAGGCATACGCCCTCCTTTGTGTCTCCCATCGTTTTGCAAGAATCCTCCTCTGTGTGGTATTCCTCGATCCATCATGCCACGTCTGACTTCCTAATGCCGGCGCAATGGCACGCATGTGTACACCGCGGCGGCATTGTAGGTTTGCGACGACACCATTCAATCGCGCCGGTACGACCAAGGTAGAAAACATCAGCAGTGGTTTCCTGATCGGGTGTTTAGGGACTTGACTCTGCGAATGCTGAAGCAGCCGCTGAGCGAGGGCGGGCTCTAGTGGTGACGTTTCTCATTCGTAGGCAAAGAAAAAACTGGGTCAAGCTGATCCCTGTCCGCGCGCCTCCGACACGCGACACGATGTCATCACACCTCGTGTTTGCACTAACTCGACTTGGTAGACTAATGACCGTCGTGATTGTATGATGTACATTTAAAGTCGTCGCTATGATGTTGAGCAATACAGCGAAGTCTGAATGATTTGAAATGTCCTGTCTATGCCGTAATGGACGCCGCATTCCTTCGTCAATTCCACCACTGGCTGCGCCTGATCGTACCCATATCTACAATAACGTAAAAAAGTTTCAAAGCGCCAACCAGCCCTCGATGACCTATGAAAACCCCTTGCACATATGCGTAGCATCCATATTGTGCGCCAAGTAACACCTCGCAGAACGCTAAATCGGATCAGATAAGGAAAGGAAACGCCATACGTTAGGACCAAGGAAACTCGTAGAAGATACAGGAGCCGGGCATTGGCAGGCCAGAGAAATGAAAACGAAAAGGGGCAAAACATGAAAAGCATTTAAGAATCGGACCAGGGCCTCATCCAGGTTTGAATTCGCACGTCAACCAGGGGGTAGGCCGCTAGAATCGTGAGTCGCGTGGGTACGTGGGTAATGAACAAGTCGCCAGGGAATTGTCGCAAGGGTACTCCATGGTGTTGTTGCGTGGAATGAGGATGCGAGGGCCTTGGAGCTTCACCAGTTATGGCCAAAGCAGATAGCACGGGTCCAGAATGGGTTATTGTCTGTTCGATGAGCTGGCTCGTGGGAGATACATGGCTATTTGCAAGGGCTGGGTAAAGGGCGCAGTCGGGTTTGATCGGTTGGATATACACCATGTCGATACATGTGTGGAGGGAGCGGTATACAGGATTTGGGCTATTGTAGTAATGTCGAGTTTATCTGTTGGAAAGGTTCGAGACAGCCGTGTTTGCTGTCTAGGCTTCTGGAAGTACGGAATGGGACTTTTAGCGTTGATACTGAGCCAATTGGGCCATGATCTCATTCATATCCGGCGCGGGGCCAGCCTGAGTAGGTGTCTGCACTGGTGGAGCGACAGCCTGGCTCTGGTTGGCGAAAAGAGAAGCAAGCGCGGGGAACTGGTTGCCCAGCTGTGCGAGATGCGGCTGGGACTGAGCACTGAAGCCAGGTGTTTGCGCAGGGCTAGGCACTTGAGCTAGCAGGCGTGCAAGATCAGCGTTCAATCCCTGGTTCGGCGCGGGTTGCGTATTCTGAGGCATATTATTGCCGGACATTGCGCCGAGGAGCTGAGACAAGCTCGCACCGTCGAGAGATGCAATGAGGTTAGAGATGTTCGGCTGACTGGTCGGCAGGGATGGGAAGGGGTTGTTTGGCTGGGGAAAGTGCGGGGGTAGGGTCTGAGCGAAGCCGTACGAGGATGATGGTGGCAGGACCGGGCGAGATTGGCTTTGTTTGGCATTGTTGACGAGGAGGCCAGCGGTCGTGGGGTCAAGATCGGCATATTCTGGGCACATGAGTCAGTAATCGCTCATGTATATCATAAGCAATCGTACCGTTGAACTGGACGTTGTTTGCACCGCCACGTCGGTCGAATATCTGGACGCTAACTTTGCCCTTGGTAAGGCCAGTAGTATCAAGCCTCACGATGGCCAAAACTCCCTCAAGGATCTGTCTTCGAACTACAGCTGGTTCAGGGAACCGACCACTCAATATCAGGACATTACTACGGAGATTTTGCGAGCGGAAAGTATCCTCGACGTAGCGGATGAAGTCACTACCACTGAATTAGCGACCTTGATATAATAGCTGTTGGTTCCGAACTTACCGAGGGAGACCTTCGTTGAGCACAAGAATCTGGATGTCAGGCACCTCGTGGGGCAATCGGCGCCGCAGGTCCAATCCATCCTCTGTGTAGTCGCGACGCGGGGACGGGCTTCTGTGCCTGCGCGGTGGTGTTCTGGACCGGCTACGGTATCGCGTATCAAACCTGTCTCGGCTTCTGTCCCGTGATCGTACACCCCGAGGCGGGGCTCGCGGCGATGGCGATCGCATGGGCCGATAATCGTCCCGATCACGAAAACGTCGATCTCTAGGGGACATGGAGTTTGGATGCCCTACATAACGATTGTCCCTAGGTGCTGGTCCTGTACCGCCCCGATTGTAATCTGGCGAACGTGAACGTCGACGCGGTGTTGGGTTCGGCGGCTCGATCTTCTTCGTGTTGCGCTGTGGCTTGGAGATCTCAAGGTCTGTCATAGTTAGTCGACTGTCCAGCAGCAAAGTGATTGACATGACATACGCATCTTCCTGCCGCGCACTGCCTGGCCTTGCTCGGCATCCAGAGCTCTGCGACATGATTCCGAGTCCAAGAACTGGACAAAGCCATATGCCTGTTTGATTGATATCTGCGCAAGCCTGCCGTGGCGGTAGAAACGGTGGAAGATGTCTCGCTTGGTGACTTTTTCGGTGGGGAGGTTTCCTAAGAATCGGTTAGGCGCATCCTTGGTGCAAAAACAGTCTCAGCTCACCAATGAAGAGACGCGAACCCATGGGAAACTGGTCCCATTGCCCCTCCGTCACAAACTTCCTCTCCTGATCCAAAAACTCCTCGTATCTCCTGTTGACCTCGGGCGGCCACCGCTGATCCTCATCGTCGGGCGTTTCGCTACGATCACCCGGCTGCTGCTGAGCCTGACTGGGCGTGGAAAAGTCCTGACTCTGCACGTTCAAGGGCTGAAGGGAGCCATTGCCTCTCTGCTGGGCAATGGGAGCTTGCTGACTCTGTGGATGATAGGATCTGATGTCATCGCTGGGGTTATAGTTGGGGTGCGTAGCGGGCTGTTCTTGGGTGGGTGGTCGAGCAGGGAGATTGGTGGCCGAGGGCAACGACGAGGCATGGTGCTGTGTCTGCGGCGACTGGGAGGACATTTGTGCAGAGGCATATTGGGCTGCAGGCGCATTGTTGGCAGCAGGTGTCAGAGAGTCCAAGAGGGCTTGTACGTCAACATTGGAGCCAGTGTGCGCGTCAGTCTGGTAGTGAGCGCCTTGGGCAGACTGGGCGGGCGCTTGCTGAGCAGCATAGGCATGGTCATGGGGGTATGGGTACGCAGAAGAAAGACCTTGAGCAGCCGGCGGCGGCGCGTCAGTGGCCGACGCAGCGCGCGACTGGAGCTGTGCGGTGAAATTCTGCATTGAAGAGGTATCATGCGGCTGCGTACCCATGCCGCCGCCAAACGCAGCCGACTGCGCGAACGCCCCCGGCGCATCGTGCCCTGCCCCTTGTGCGCCTATACTCTGGAAGCTGGCGGTCGAAGATGGGTCGGCGAAGTACGGCGTCGACGTGTTCGCGTTCGCGTGGGAGCTGTGGGCGGGCGCGGCAGAGTCGTTGCTGTGGGAGACATGACTATAGTTCGCATCCATGTGCTCTACGAGGATGGGGATGTTGGCGGGCGACGGGACGTTTTGCGGGCGCGGGCTCTCGGGCGTCAGCGACTGGTGCCGTATGTGCTCAGCTTGTTGCGGCGGACTCGAGTTGGGTCTCATGTAGACTGCGGAGCCAGAGCGCAGAGCTGGCAGACAAGGCGTGGTGAAGGGAGTCAACTCAAAGCATCTACGAAAACGCACCGTCGCGACAAGGGCTGGAGAGCTGCAGGTGGAGCACTAGGAGAAGACGAGCGGATGGCGGGGCTGGCTAGATGCTACCTAGGTATATGTGATGGATGAGGCAGACGCGACAGCCACAGGCACAGAAGCGAGAGCGGGCCCCGTAAAAGTGGCAAGAGACGGTGGTGCAGTCAGGAAATATCAGGAAGAGAGATGTAGTGCAGCAGATGTTGGGATTCGGCGCCGCATCGACTCCGAGGAGCCTGGAATCGAGAACTTGCCTGGCTAAGCTTCGTCCACGTGATGCGTTTTAGTCTGCTTCTAGCGTCCGTTTTATGGTTAAAATGGTCATGTTGATCCTAGCTCGAGCTATTGCGGTTGCGACATGATCTCATCTTGACAAAGGCCAACGTGAGCAATTTGCGCAACCGTGATGCTGCGACGCTTCATTTTTCATCCGCTAGTCTGCCCTCCTGCGCCGTTGCCAGCGGTGCACCGGATAATTCACTGTCGAGGGCATAGCAGCAGTGCCACTGGCGACGAGGTCCAGGCCGCACGCGCCTGGCTCGCGGAGCTCCATGCAGAGACGATCCCTTTCAAGAGCATTGGCGAATTGAGCTTCAGCAGATCGTCAGGACCGGGCGGCCAAAATGTAAACAAGTATGACACACTACACCACTTTTTAACACGGCGCTATACTAAACGGGCACCAAGAGTCAATTCTAAAGCTACGTTGAAGGTGCCTCTCGACGCGTTGCTGCACCACATCCCTGCAGCCCTACATGGCGAAATTAGACGTTCTCGCTACGTTGCTGCTAGATCCAATGCTATCATAGTCCAGGCCGACGACAGTCGAAAGCAGAGCGACAATGCTCAGAGCTGCTACAGGCGCATATACGAGGCCATTGCCCGAGCCGGACAAGATGCTGTGCCCGCCGAGACGTCGGCAGCACAGGTGCAGCGTGTCAAACAACTGTATGTCGTCGCACTTCCGATAGCCCAGGCGACGGCCCGAAAGCTGATAAGACGCCAGACAGAAGGCAGATAACGAGCGCCGCCTCAAGAGCAAGAAGCAGCAGAGCGCTAAGAAGACGTCGCGACGAAGCCGGGGTGACGAGTGAAGCGGTCTGCGGGGAAGCGGCCTGCCACAGCACCATAGCTCAGCGCAACGTGCAGGTGACGTGGTTCTACCGTTGAATCGTAGTGCATCTCACGATAGTGCGAGCATGACTGTAGCGGTGTAGTGTGGCGTGCCCCCCGATAAGAGATAGGAAGAATACTTGATGCACGAGTGCTCGGTACGATTAGTCTGCTGACCAAGTCCCTTGATCCTTCACGTTTCCGTGACGGCAGAAAGTTTCTGGAGCGTTTCATTCGCAGCCCAGTACTTGATGCCTGTCTGAGATAGCAACTTTGCTTCGTCTTTCTTCCCTTGCTTCCGCAGCAATTCGCCCAATCTAGCAACCTGATCGCCGGATCCTTGACCGTCTTCCATCGCTCGCACATACTTGCGGAGTGCTGCACGCGACGCCTTCTGCAAGGACGAATCGCTATCCGCGAGTAACCGATGCAGAGATAACAATTGTCGAACAGCGACTTCGGAGATGGAGGCAATCTCCTTGGGATGTTGCTGAACGGTAGAGCTTATCAAGTCCAGGGCCTTGCTCAATGCAAGGGCAATCTCCGGGTCGCTTGGGTCGCAGCCAAATAGCAGCATGCGGAACCTGCAGATGGCAGTTTCAACGGCATGGGGAGAGTTCTCTTGCAGGTAATCTAGCACGTGCTGCAAGATGCGTGGTATGCAGGCTAGCTGACTAAACTCGGCAAACATGTCGAAGAACTTCTCCGCGAGTTTGGGCTTGCCCTGGAACTGCTTCATGGCGGAGTCAAAGACTGCCAGTGGGATAGCACCAGTGAGCACTGGCGCAGACGCCAGGTTCTGCAGCGCCACCTCGTCCACACCATCGTCCTGCTTCAGGCTGGGGTTTACATCTTCTGCCGTCACTTCCGGAAGCGCAATCATGTCTTCGTCGCCGTCCTCGTCTGTGCCTGGCTTCTTTGTACGATCAATGTCCAGACCGAGAATCTTGCGCCGACCAGCGATCTTGCCAACGTAAATGGTCTCCAGCTTTGCGTATTCCAGCCACATAACCTCGGAGTTCTTGCAGAAGCGTAGTCCTCGCTGCATGTAGCTTCGCGCATTCGTAATGTCCGCCTGCGTATCCATGAAGTAGTTGGCCGCGAGGATCCATATGTCGGGCTTGGTGGGGTGGAGTCGAGCGACAGATGTGAAGATGTCGTTCAGCCGCTTGTATGCCTTGTCTTTGCGCGCAAAGTCGATATACTGCATCCATAGCACCAGGTCACCCGAGAACTTGCGCGTCGCCCGGTTGTAGAGGAAGTAGATGGTGCGCTGACCAGAGCCCTTGTACCGTACACCCAGGCGCTTTATTCGTTTGCGGCGGAGGGCGTCGACGTTCTTCTCGAACTCAATGTATCGCATGTAGTCTTCGGGGTGCGAGCCGCGTGCATTGATAATGTGCTCGAAATCCGAGCGCTTCTTCGCTATGGAGCTGATTTCTTCCTATGGCATATTAGCGAAGCTGGCGTTGCGCGCATGGCGGCCTAGCATACCCGTGTGAAGATTTTCTTGCGCTCAAGCTCGTTCAGCTCGGTCGCCGACTGCTCGAGGTAGAAACGCGCCTTGTCACTGGGTCCGGCCATGTTTGCGCGTCCGGGGTGTTGCTGCTGGCAGAGTTGGGATAGAAAAGTTGACTTCTCTAGAAAAAAGTTAGGCTAAAGTTGCTCCCGCGGGTAGCGCCTTGGCCTACGGACCTCGGAAGCGCGAACCCTGGCCATTGCAACCTGTGGACTTCAGGAGACGCGCGTGTTGGACTGCGCATCATCAATTCTCGACGCTCTTTTGCCGCTTCTTTCTCGTTCAATGGTCCAGCGCTGCTGAAGACCTACCTGAATTTTCTACCATGGTCAAGGACAAGGACGGCGACACTGTCGCTACGGTACGCGCAGTCCGGCCTCACCCCCGAGAGCTCCGCATGCTCACCAGATGTAGTTCAATGGGAAATGGATATCATATTCGCATACCGCCATGGCCTACTGTACGTTCCTATGTGCTTGACGGATATCAACGGACTGACAAATCCCAAGGTGCCTTTGTCGGAGCCCTCATAGTCGGAATGTACGCTTCTCACTCTCTACTACCCCACGACGCGGCTGAACACCCACAGATGGCTACACTACCACAAGATTGTGCAAAACGAGTTTTATGTTAGTCCCCGAGGACCACACCAGGCCCAGAGCCAACCATTGACGTGCCCAGGGTTACCCAGATGAATGGTTTCCATCCGTGTCCGCGACCATCGGCGACCGCTACCCGGAGCGTTCGGTCTTCATGCTCTTCATCGCCCTGACATCTGGTATGGAACGAGACACAGCGCACAAAGGCATATGCTAAGCTTTACAGGCCCAAGATTCGCCCTCGTCGGCCTTTGGTACATCTTGACCCGCCGACCCAACTCGTCCCTCCCCAAGTTCATCGCTGGCGTCGGCATCTTTCGGACCTTGACCTGTGGAGGATGGACATATGTGACTTCTACCGACGACCACGACTGGCACGACATTTTCATGATTTCATACCTTGTTGCGACGCTACCGTGGACCCTGGGCTGTGTTGCTCTGAGCCCTAAGAACCCCACTGCCCTCAAGTACCGAAAGGTCCTTGCTGGCAGCTTCTTCGGAACTCTGGTGCCGTTGATCTACTTTTTCATCCAGCACAAGGTGCACCGAGTGGCTGGAGGTACGTTTGACAATTCCACTGTTTTGCCATCGCTAACGTCTTTACAGCATATACCATCTACGCTTTCTTCGAATGGGCACTGGTCTTGCTCGATGTAGGCTTCGATGCCGTCACGATGATCGAGTTCCAACACTTGGAGGTTGTCATAAAGGATGTTCGAGGTGTATCTCGCCTGTACGTTCCTCGTCTTCCAATATAGATAGACACGCATCACGAATCTATACTTCTTATGGACACTTTCTGATAAGACATGTCTTGTAGTGCGGGCTCCAAGTCGACATCCGACAGTATCCAGGAGTAAGTCACTACTGCTTCCCGAGGCTCTGCGCGTCACTGACAGGAGCAGAAAAAACAAGGAAATGAGCGCGACCTTTTCAGGTGCCTTTTCTTGGTTTGGACTCATCTATGCTGCTGCAGACGTGTACAACGGCGTAAGTGGCATTGCACGATGTCATTGGACGTGACTAAATACTGTATAGTTTGTCTTTTGGTCCATGCTGACTTCACTCGGTGTCTGCGTCTGGTGTATGTTGGAATTCTCCCGTGCGATCGTGATATCTGCTGATTATATTTAGACTTCCCTCTCTGGCACATGGGTATCTCTGGCTACGAGGCCTTGGTCATGTGCACCGTCACCCCCTTCTTCCTCGGCATCAAGCCTCTCCGCTATCTGGCTACTCGCTACGTCTGGCTTTTCCACCTGCTCTCGCTCTCCGGACTTCTCGCGTTTCTTGCCAAGACACCCGTCAACCGACTCTTTGCCGTTGGCTTCGGTCTGTCAATGTCATGTATCGCATGGTCTGCCACCTTCTATGCCGAACGGTCTCAACCCCACCGCCTTGAAGCACGCATTTCCGCTTTTGCTATTGGTCTGATCGCCTCTAGCATTGCGAAGTTTGCCTTTTGGACCAACAACCCGATTTGGCCAATCATGCACGAGGCAAACGGCGGATGGAACAGGACTGGATTCGTAGTAGCTCTCATCTCGATACTCATATCGACCAGATCTACCGCCAGTTCTGGCGCAGATGTCCCAGCTCAAGGCCCTACCAAAGGGTCTTCTGTCTTTGCGAGCTTTGGCCTCGCGGGTGTTATGTTCGCCATGCACTCGCTCCTCTCCGATTCGAGCACGATGATCTCTTGGGTATGGGAAGGCTACCCTGTTCGGGGTCCACTGGCTGTACCCCACGGCACCCTGACTCTTCTAGCCATGGGCCTTGGTCTTATGATTGGACTATTTGCGCCCAACCTCTCAAGGTCATGGGCCTTTTACGGCATAGGCTCTATCGGTGCCGCCGTTTTGACAACCACCAGCCACTGGACTGGTTTCTATGGAGCCTTGGTCCTCGCCATGTACACCATGGCAGCAGCACCTGTTCTCATTGCCCATGCGGCGCGCCACTCACCAGGCCGCACATTCGGTCTCGGATTCTTGGTGTACAACTTCATGGTTCTGTTCCACGTCTGGGTAGTAGCGTACGCGTTCGTTCCGGGCGGACCGCTTGTTCGCGAGCACACAGACTGGGTTATGACAGCCATGATGCTTCAGATTGGTGCCGGTATCTTCAGTGTCTCCGCTCAGCCGCCAGCACTCAAGAGCTACAAGGGCAAGGCGGTCATCACGGCAGCTGCCAGTAGGCAGCGATCTTACTACCTCTACGTTCTAGGTGCTCTAGAGTTGATCGCCATTGCCACCGCCTACCTACGCTTCCCGTCTTACGACTACAAGCCATATCACCCGGAGACCAAGTCCATCACAGCTGGCATCTGGACCATCCACTTCTCCCTCGACAACGACATGTGGTCTTCAGAGTACCGCATGCGCGACCTCATCAAGGAAATGGAAGTCGACGTCATCGGACTCCTCGAAAGCGATCTGCAGCGCATCATCATGGGCAACCGCGATACAACGCAGTTCCTCGCCGAAGATCTGGGCATGTACGTCGACTTCGGCCCAGGCCCCAACAAGCACACATGGGGCTCGGCACTGCTCTCCAAATTCCCCATCGTAAACTCAACCCATCATCTTCTCCCCTCACCCGTCGGCGAGCTTGCCCCGGCCATCGAAGCTACTATCGACGCCTACGGTGAGATGATTGACATCTTCGTCTTCCACTCGGGCCAGGAAGAGGACCCCGAGGATCGCCGCTTACAATCAGAATACCTGGCTGAACGCATGAAAGCCACGCCGCGTCCCGCCATCCTCCTCTCGTACCTCGTCATCAAACCCGGCGAGGGCAACTACAACACGTACGTGGGTGAGAAGAGCGGTATGAAGGATATCGACGCGTCAGACTGGGACAGATGGTGCGAGTACATTCTCTACAAGGGCCTGAAGAGGAGTGGATATGCCCGTGTTTCCAGACATACCATCACGGATACCGAACTCCAGGTAAGTTTTCCTTCTGGTTGTCTAGCGTCAGATCAGTGTGCTAATCATGTGATGCAGGTTGGTAAATTCGTTGTTGGCGAGCCGGAGAACGGAAACGAGCTGCTGCATGAGTCGCAGGTTCCTGCTGGGTTGAGGTTCCCGGAGCTGTTCAAGGGCCAAGGTGTCAGGGGGCATAGGTATCATGTCTTCAACGAGCCTAGATACTATGCTTGATCTGTGGGCACTGACTGGGGAGAGCGGGGGTGAAAGCAAGTCTATTGATTAGACTGAAAGTGTATGATAGGTTGAGGAAAAAGTGAATATAGTGTTGTTTCATTGCTGATGTTGATTCTTGGATACTACTCATTTCGCATTCACTACTTGCACAGCGTTTATGCGCTGTTGCCCAGGAACACAGACGGCCCTTTTTAGAGCCATGGTAGGACGCCAATACCCATGCATGCAGTGCGCGAGCCTTGCCCACGCCTGTTTCGTAAAGCGCCAAATGCCGAACCCAGACTTTTCGATCATTCCTTCATCCCTTTCATGATCGTCATCGTGTCCCCCGTCATAGTCTCCCCGCCTCCCCAGAAGCTGTTAGCTTCCCCCCGCATTATGAAACGAACGAGTCGACCGGCTGTAGTGTGGCGCGCTCATTTCGCAACAGCTGCGCTCAGGACCTGTGTCCTGAAGAAGCCTCCCTTTGTCCTCTCGATGACTTGTTGGTAGACGGACTGTGGTGGGTGGTTCATGACGACTGTGCCGGCTTGGTAATCGATCTTTGCGTCTACGCGAGTGTCGCGGATGAGGTTGACGATCCACTTCTCACCCTCGTCTTGTGAAAGACCGAGGCGGGTCGAGAGATCCCTAGTCGCGAATTAGTACGGTTTTGGAAGTGACGAGAATTGTAGAATGACTCACTTGATGTCGATTCTCTGGTGGATCTTGCAGTAGCTCTCCGAGATGAGATGTCTCGCTGAGTCGACAAACAAGTCTGCGGCGCCCAACAAGAAGAAGTCGTTCTTCAAGATCTCCTCCGTCTCGCTGAGCTTCTTCTGCGCCTCTTCAAAGTCAAAGTCGATGTACAGAGCCTTAATGAAGTCGGTGACGGGGTCATTGTACTCGTAGCCTTCTTGTCGCACGATCCTGATGAGATCCTTGAGCTGCTTCTGGTACTGGTTCGAGTTCCTGCCACGGTTGCGGCCGGTGATGACGGCAGCAGCGAGGTAGCGCAGAATCCATGGGCAGTTGGTCTGGATGGTGTTGATGTAGGCGGGGGAGAAGAACATGTCGGTGAGGGTTTCGCGCGAGGATTCGTGGTTGAAGAGGGGGAAGAGCGACCAGTGGATCAACCAGGTGCGGTGCTGGAGCTGTGCGAGGGGATTGTTGAAGAGGCGTGTGTCGATGATCTCCTTGAGCTTGTTGATCTCCTCCATGGCCGAGTCCCAGTTGACGGAGAGGATCTCGCAGGCGAGCTTTCCCCAGGTGGCTTCGCGCTCCTTGTCGCCGTCGGTGGTCTGCTGACGTTAGTAACCAGTATGCCGCAGGGCTTCGTAGAAACGTACCAAAACGCGGAAGCGGTAGAGCAGCTCAGCGGCGTGTGGGTAGACACCGCACGAGTACTGGAACTGGCCAAACTCGAGCAGCTGGTTGATCATGTCCAAGTCGACGCCGTGGCTCTCCTTCAGGTATGCCAAGTTCTGCTGCTTGTCGCTGCGCAGGTTGGTGACGACGTTCTCGTCGTCGAGCAGGCCGCTGATCTTGCTGGTGGCCTCCTCGAGCTGGTCGCGCTTCTTGAGGACCTCGTCGCGCTTGGTCTTGAACTCGTCGGACATGTCGTCGAGGCCGTGGACCTCCTGGTGCAGCTGGCCGACGAAATCCGTCATGTTGGTGGGCTTGAGCAGTTCGAGCAGCAGCTTCTTCTGCTCGACGGTCTGGTCGGCGTCTTCATCGCTGGAGAAGTTGAGGAGCGGGTAGACGAGATGGCGGTCGAGGTTGGGCATGAGCTTGGGGAGCAGCGAGTACTGCTCGGCGACATTTGCGCCGGTTGCCGCTGAGTCCGCCATGGTGGGTGGTTGTGGTGGTGGTGGGAGGAGTTATGGCGATGTCGAGCGTGGTGGGGTGGGCTCGGAAACGAAAAAAGCAGCCGGACTGTGCGCGCGAGGGACCCCAGGCGCTACTTCTGGAGTTGAGCCGCAAGCCATGGCCGCAGCATTCACCCCACGGCCCTCGCGACACATTCCTCGACCCTTCGACACGTGGTAGAATACTTTCACCGGCACCGCTGCATCACAATGCCTCGCTTGCAGTCTCTCGTCCCGCTCCTGCGCCCATTGGCCGCCCCAAGAGCCATCGCATGCCGGCCGCACTTCCGCTTCTCTACAGCGACAAGATGGCAGGCTGAGCGTAAGCTATGCGTTCTTCTGGTACAATAGGCACACCAATTGACCCTCCATAGAACCCCCGCCAGACTCCAAGCCAATCGTCCAGCCATCCCTTCCACCCAACGCTTCTTCGCAACACCCGACATCACCCCAAGAAGCCCAACGCGCCGCCGACCTTGCCGCAGCAGAGTCTCTCACCGAAGGCGACAGCGCGCAACCGCCCGAGCAGAAGCCGACGCTGCCCTCCAAGCACCCCCGGTCCGACAACAAGCCAGAACAGACACCCTCGCAAGCGAAGCCCGCAAAGGCCGACGACGTCGCGCCCAAGCCCTCGACCGCGCCCTCAGACACAGCCGACACAACATCGACGCTCCAGAAGAAAGTCGCCAAGAAGCCAAAGACACCGCGCGCCCCCAAACTATCTCTACCGCCGCCCAAGTACGCCGTCTCGAGATCTGCGAACAAGAACCTGCCCATCTACACCGACTACAAGCGAGGAGGCAACTTGCATCTGACGACGGTACGAAAGGTCACCGGCGACCTATCTGCTTTGAGGGACGAGCTGAGAGTCTTCTTGAACAAAAAGAACGAGGATGTCAAGATCAACAGCGTGACACAACATGTCATTGTCAAGGGACATCACACTGCCGAGATTGCTACATTCCTGAAGGCGCGGGGCATGTAAAACATGGGCAAGAGAGGGATTGTGTCGCGTGAAAAACGAATGTATATATCATGTTGTAGTACAACTTGTACCATATGGGAAAGAGGGTAGATGAGTAACGTTGGCCATGATTGTTCAGTCAGTACAATGAACTATCCCGTTGCATCAGCGACATCAAGAGGCAGAAACCAGCTGGCTTGCACATCACCATCATGTTGTATTCTCGAGTCAGAGGTGTGAAGCCTGAGTTCCATTGCTACTATGGACGAGATCTAATCTATACCCCAAGCGTACTTGTAAAAGGCTTCCGAAATGTCCCTGCAATTCATTCAATGTCTCAAGTACCGTGTAGAACAAGCTTCTAGTAGAGGTCAGTTGTATCCTGTAAAGTGGGTGTAGACTCATGTCTTACCACGGAAATCGCGCAGCGCGAATAGTGAACCTGGACAGGCGATCAAGGAGGAGGGCAGCAAGTCCAGCACTGACCAAAGTAGCACTCCCAGCGACATGGCTTGAAGTTTGTTGCTACGTTGGCGGATGATACGTCGCTGGAGTCGCTGGCGGCGCCGCCCATGTCGGGCATGCAGACCGCCCAGCACTGACCGAAATAGCACTCCCAGTGGCACTTGATCTTAGCCTTTGAAACGGGGTCGTTGGCCACAGTCTCCTTCTTGGCTTCTTCATCACAGACCAGTCCGCAGAGCGACTTGTCCGTGTTGCAAATCTCGCGGCAGACCTTGTGTGGAATGTCTGGAATGTTCTCGATGGCGGTTTCGGTCCCAGCTACTGGCTCAAGAACGGTCTCGGTCCAGCAACTGCCAGAGGTCAAGTCGCAATGGTAGAGGAAAGCATTCTCAACATGCTCGTTGTTCTCCAGCTGTGTGTGGTTTGCAGTGACAGAGATGGACGTGTCGGCATGGAGCTCGGTCTCGTCGATGACAATCGCGCCGCTGGCTGCAAAGCCAGCCACTCCAGCGACGTCGGTACACTGGCGCGTGCACGTCACATGGAAGCATATCCAGACGCATTTCTGTGCAGCTTCTTCGCGCTTAGTCGCTGCAGCCGCAGAAGTAGCAGAGGTGTCGGCAACGACACCCTCCATGGTGGCGGGGTCTGGTGCATCGACCTGCTGAGTCTTGTGGCAACTACGGCTGCACACGTAGCACTATGAGGCTGTCAGTCTATCTTCTCTCGTAATCAAGACGGCTATGAGAGGTTGACGCGCCATCCAGAAGATAGCGCACCGGAATAGAGACTTACGTCGGGATCATTGCACCGTATGGGTCGACATTCTTCTTCGGTGAGGTTGTTCTGCTTGCAGAACAGGTTGATGTATATGCATCGGTAGCAGTTGGTGTCAGCAAAGACATCATCACCGGGAATGGCGAGTGAGTCGTCACGCTTAGCCGCTGGAGCCACAGAAGTAGAAGAGATGTCGGCAACGGCCGCGTCAATGGCAGAGACCAAGGCGTTGGTGGAGACAGTGTCCGAGACATCGACGGGTCCAGCGACGGGTCCAGCGACAGCATCCCCGATCGGTGGACAGTGTGGATTGCACTGTCGGCACATCTACATTCTGTTAGACCTTGCCTTCGCCCAGCTCAACCCAGCTCGCCAATGCAAGCAAGAAGGCGGGTGAAGACTTACCAGACTGAGGCACCACAGGGTGTCGCATTTGTACTCGCTGAGCTTCCTGTCCTTGCAAACTTTGCCAATCGAGGTTACGCAAGCCGGACAGTTGAGACCAGCAGTTGATACTTCGTTGGAAGCAGCGATGGGTGAAGCGGAGGTGATTGCGACCAAGCTGATGAGGAGGAGAGCGAGCATCTTGAAGAGATTGAACACAGCCATGGCGATGGTTGGAGCGGTGTTTTCTTGTGTGGGTTCAAGAGTAGGTGGGGAGGGGAGAAAGTATAGAAGAAATAAACAAATGGGAAGCACAGGCCGGAGCGGATCAATGCAAACGGAGCGTGAGCGTGACTGAAGAAAGTGAGGTGAGGACCCGCCGAGGACAGAACGTGTTTGCTGTGGTCACTCGGTGCAGTGAGCCGGTGTGCGAGCGCGCGAGTCCGGTCTCGTAATTGGCCCAAGTATCCCCGTTCTAGGGTGCTACTCGAGGTGTGGAACGCGGGGGTCGAAAAGTGAAGGTGAAAGAGAACGACGAAGGAAGACAGACTTGACAGAGTATACTTGCTTGAGGACTAATGGACTAACCAAATGACTTGCGAGTCTTCACGCCTCTGGTTGCCCATCGATACATCGCTTAGGCCGTCAAATGATCACGGAAGTGTTATGGCTTAGGGCTAAGAAGCCTCCCCATATATTGTCGATAGCTGCCATGACTGTTGCATCTTCTTATCGCGCTGCGGCGTTGATTGGAAAGGCGAGCGACCGTTGAGGGAAGTTGAGCCGCAGGGTTGGGCTTCATCGGCGCATCGTCACATGCACACTGGCTGATCATTAGTAGTCTGGAGTATGACACTGCTGCAAACAATACTTTGTGCGTGTAGAACATACCCCAACGTGCAGTCGCGGATTACAATCACATGGCAAGCGGGTCTTGACGCTCATGTTGCCGTTGCCAATGCTTCCACAATCGTACAAGCCTGCCTATCCACGCGACAAAACGCGTTTTAAGCGCCAAAGACTACAACATGGGTTCTGCTGTCCCCTGATGATCACACCCTGATGCAATAATGTCCGTGTATGATGCTGTAAAGTTTCTCCTCACATGAGCGCTCGTCTCTTCATCTGCTCTTGATGGGTGGACGTTGGATTTACGTTTAGGCTATGATCAGCCATACCTACTTGAGCTGATCCGATACTCTGGATCCATGTGGCAAGAGGCCCGCGGGGGAGTTATCCCCACTGACAAACCACAGGGTGGTACTTAGCGCGAGGCAGTGGTAGGACCGACTGGTCCGCGGAGCATGCTTTCGCTGGACCAATCTCGCCCCGAAGCATTCGTCTCCGTCCATCGCATGCCAGTCTTCGAAAGTCTTTTACGGATATAAGTGGGCGTATCGAGCGGTTGTGTAAGGCTGCCCTCGTGGTGGCTCAGAAATGCCATCATGGTCCATGCGGTTTCGCTAAAACCCGATCTTGCAAAGAGAATCCGATCCTTCCGCACCAGTGTATGGTCTACTGCCGTGCGATCGATGAGCTGCATGTAGTCTTACGTAGACACGTAACGCGCTCAAAATCTTGCAGAGCATATGCTATGCTTGTAGCGCTGTATTCGGCCGCCTTAGTTTTTTCCCTACTCCGTTCCTGACACAAAGTCCCCTACGAACCTCTCTCCGCAGGTGTTCTAATTATACCTGGCTACGTCTTTTTCGACTGAACGCACCCAACGAAGCTGCTGGCGTGTTTTTGCCGTCAGCCACAATGAACATCGATCACGAATCGACTGTCTGCAAATCATTTATAGGCAGGAACGGCAATGGCGCTTGTCGGTATGTCTCTCGTCCGCCGTGTTCTGAATCTTCTGATGCGATGTATGCTAACACCTACAATATGCAAGCGCGGTCACCAAACAAGGATCTGTAGGCTTTTTACATGGTAATCCTGCAGATCGAATTCGGCCGTGTACGTGAATCGGGTTCTAAGAATGGGTACGATCGCGACGGTTCAGTGTTCGTGAAGTTGCTGCCGTTTCGTCAGTCGGTGGACTGCTGCTCGTAAGCCGTGGTACGCAGTTGGCGAATCTGGCTTTGAAAGGTGCTCGTAGGAACTTGGGACCCTCGACGACAGCGGGTGTCCAGATCGCGCCGGTGGCGTCCGCAGATGAAGTGCAGAAGCAAATCTGTGACCGTGAGATAATAGGAAATATCAGCTGGATGGCGCCTGCGCTTGTGAAATGTGGCTGCGATGCCGAATCTCCATTATCAGGCTCGGCCTGAGCTGGCACCTTTGCTGGCATCTCACCTTCCGCGCGCTCCATGATCCGGCTCCGGGGTTTCCAAGTCATTTCTGAGTGTGCGGGGACGCAACTGCAAAGGCTCAACGGTACAGGGTC